CCGGTTTGGGGCGCTTCAGGGCCGTCCTGGAGACCATCTTGGGCGTCTTGGAAACCTCTTGGGCCGTCTTGGGGCCTTCTTGGGGCCGTCTTGGGGGCTTGGGGGCTTCTTGGGCCGTTCTGGGGCACATCTTGGAGGCCTCTTGGGCGATCTTTGGGTGATCTTTGGGGGCTGCTCTTGGGCCGTCTCGGGCCGTCGGAAGGCAGAACATAAGCAATTGCGACAATACTTCAACAACACAACTTATGATTTTGGCTCTTCGGGCCTTCTTGGAAGCCCTCTTGGGAGCCTCTTGGGCCGTCTTGGAGGCCTCCTGGAGGCCTTTTGGGCCGCCTTGGGCCGTCTTGGAGGCTTCTTGGGCGGACTTTGAGGCATCTTGGACCCTCTTGGACCGTCTCGGAGGCCATCTTGGACCCTCTCGGGCCGTCTTTGCTGCCATCTTGAACAATCTTGGTCGTCTTAGAGGCGATCTGGGCAACGGGAGACGAAGTTTGGGAACCTTTTCAGGCGGCCGGCGCGCTGGGCCGAAGCCCCGTGGGGGAGGTGCTTTCTTTCGGGGGGGGGGAGCTTAAACCAAGCCGTATAGGTTTAGGTTTTCAGCACGCCAGGCACCCTTGTGGCAAGACCATAGGGGTCGGCGGATCCAAGACGCCTGCGGCAAACCACCGCCGCCCCCTGCCTTTTTGGAAACGCCTATGTGGCCGAACGTTGAGGCCAGACCTGCCAAGCTATCGGACCATGTGTTCCCCGAATCGGTTTGGAAAGCCTTCGGGGAACACGTGGGCATCTTGAAGGTCATCTTGGCCGTCTGGAGGCCATTCTGACCCTTTCGGGCCTTCTTGGAGGACGTCTTGGAGGGCTCTTGGGCCGTCTTGGAGGCCATCTTGAGCGTCTTGGAGGCGTCTTGGGGGCCTCTTGGGGCCGTCTTGGGCCTCTTGGGCGATCTTTGGGGGCACTTGCGGCAGTCTCGGGCCGCAGGAAGACTGACAAAAAAACAAATGCCACAATTCTTCAAAAACTCATTGGAAATCAATTATTTTGGCCTTTTCGGGCCTTCCTGGAGGCCCTCTTGGAGGACTCTTGGGCCGTCTTGGGCCATCTTAGGGCCATCTTCGGCCGTTTTGGTGGGCCCCTGGCCCGTCTGACGCCGTCGGAAGCTGTTTGGGGGGCCTTTCTGGGCCGACTTGGGGCCCTCTTGGGGTGCTCCAGGGCAGTCTTAGAGGCCATCTTGGGCGTCTTGGAGGCCTCTTGGGTCGTCTTTGTGCCCTCTTGGGGCCGTCTTGGGGGCCCTCTTGGGTAGTCCTCAGGCCATCTTGGAGGCCTCTTGGGCGCTGTGGGGGCGATCTTGGGGGCCTCTTGGGCCGTCTTGGGTCGTCGGAAAGCCGAGAAGGAGCAAATACGCAACACCTTTGAAAACATATGGAAAATCAATGATTTTGGCCCCTTCGGGCCCTCCTGGAGGACCTCTCGGAGGCCTCTTGGGCCGTCTTGGAGGCAACTTGGGCACCTCTTGGGCCGTCTTGGGCCGTCTTGGAGGTTTCTTGGGCGAACTTGGAGGCATCTCCTCCTCTCCTGGGCCGTCTTGGAGGCCACCTTGGGCGAGCTGGAGGGCCATCTTGGCCGTTTTGGAGGCCATCTTGAGCCGTCTTGGAGAATTTTTCCGGACGTTGAGGTCGTTTGCGGTCCTGGAAGAGCCTCCCGGCACCCCGGCGGGACGGGCCGAAGCCCCAGTGGGAGTTTTTTTTTTTGGTTGAAAAAGAACCAAAACCGAAATCGTCTAGCACGCCAGGCACTCCTGCGATGAATCGAAAGGGGGCGGCGGATCTGGTGGCCTTTGACCTATCCCGCCAACGTGCCTGGGTTGTGGGTGCGAGGCTTTTTGGAGGTTCGTTGGAATCTCGTGGGAAGCTTCTCGGGGGCCTCTTGGAGGCAGTTGTGAAGCCTCTGGGGGCCGTTTGGGGTCTCTTTTTGGCTTCTTGGAAACCTCTTGTGGCTTCTTGGGGGCCGTTTGGGGGCCCCTTGGGGCCTCTCGGGAACCTCTTAGGGCTTCTTGGGGGCCTCTTGGGGCGGAAGTTTCGAATCGTCAGTTCATGTTCCCCCTCTTGGAGCCATTATGGGGTCCTCATGGGCCGTCTTAGGCGCCTATTGGGCCGTTTCCGGGCCCTCTTGGGCCGTCTTTGGGCCCTCTTGGGAGCCTTTTGCGTTGTCTTGGGGCGGTCTTGTGGGCCTCTTGGGCCGCGTTGGAGCGTCGGGAGCTCGAATATGCGAGAACTTCAAAACATAGGAAGCCCACGGGAAAGCAATAAACACTTCGTCTACTGCGAAACGATCTGGCGACCGAAAAGCCGCCGATCGTTCAAGATTGAAGGATCCACGCTGTGCTGGAAACCATCGGCGGTGCCGTCACGACACGAACCTGCCGCATCCCGTTCCCCCTCCTTTCCCTTTCCCTCCCGCACCCCCCCCTCTCCTCATCGGCACCGGTAGGGGGGGTAGGCTCAGGGGGGGCTGCAACTCGCCGAAACGGGTCTGGGTCGTTCGCTCGCGATCCTCGTTCGGATGCGGCGCGGATGCAGACTGTGGACCTCGCTCGGTCGTTCGTGCGCGATCCTCGTTCGGATGTGGCGCAAGCGTAGTATCGGACCTCGTTCGGTCGCTCGCTCGCGATCCTCGTTCGGATGCGTCGCTGACGTCGTAGCCGACCTCGTTCGGTCGCTCGCTCGCGATCCTCGTTCGGATGCGGCGCAGACGTTAACGCGGACCACGTTCGGTCGCTCGCCCGCGATCCTCGTTCGGTCCTCGCTTGCGGACCTGCCCGCGTCGCCTGCGGCGCGCCGCGACGCGCGCGGGCAGCGCGGCGACGCGGCGCTGTTCGCGCTCGCGTCCGCCGCGCATCCCTGAGGCCAGCGGATGTGTGTGATGGAACGAATGGCCGAGTTCGTTCCACACAGGAAAACATCGTCGAAACACTGCTCAGCGACTCTTTGCTTCTGGGGCCGCGGCGGGGCCGTTGCCCGGGGCCGCCGGGAGACGGCCCGAGCCCGGCCCGCCGGCCCCGTCCCTCTGGTGGCGCCCTCCTCTCTCGGCTGTGCCCCGGGGCCCGCTCTGTTCTGGGCGGCTGGCCCCGCGGGCTGGGTGGGGCAGAGCCGCCGGTCATATTGGCAGGGCCATTTCTGCATTCCCGCGCCGGCCTGCCTTCTGCACGCCCGAAATGGGCACGGAAACAATGGGCACAATGCCCAACAACAAATGTTGTCCCAAACCAACAGCGGCCGCTGTTGGGCAGGCGGCCTTCTGTTTCAGATGGACACAGGCCGCGGCGACACCGACAGCCAGTCCTGTTCAGAATGAACAGGAACTGCTGTTGGGCATTGTACCCATTCTTTCCGTACTCATTTCGGGCGTCCAAATGCTTGGCTTGGGGGCGTTCCCGTGTAAGGTTTTCGCTCGGCTGCCAGTTAGAGCACAATGCAGGCGCAGAGACGTCCATGGGGCCTGCAGATTTTGGGTCCAGGCGGCAGATTTCCTTAGGGCCCGATTTCGTCAGACAACTATGCATGTCATGGGTGGGTGCGAAACACATCTCATGCTGAGTGCCTACATCTAGGGCGGCAGGGCCCGCTGGCACCAAGCTGGCAACTTTGCGGACGCCCACCTTCAGCTCGCAGCGTGCGTGCCGCTCTTCACCCCTCGCTCCGTGCATGATGGGCATCTATCCCTCCGTCTCACTCCTCGCCCCACCTTGCCTTCTCCTTTTCCCAAACGCGCTTCCCTCCGCCTTCCCATCTGCTCTCCTACCGCCCGCCCCTCCTGGCTGGACAGAGCGGCCTGCGCAAGAAGGCCTGACCTTTGCCGCGGACGGCTTGCCTTGAGAACGAACCGTCCCCCTCAACATCTTCCGGCGCCCTCGCCGCCCTCCTCAACGCCGGCCCATCTCCAGGAAGGCCCTGTGAACGGCAGCAAGGCGTCTCGCAGCTCTTACCACAGGATGGCTCCTATGCCCAACCCTGCCTCTTCCCACCCCTGCCCCCTCCTCATCGCATCATCCCTGCCTCCTGCAAGGGCGGGCAGATTCGGCTCTGGCCCGGGGCCCAGCACTGCCCCGTGCAGGGCGCCGCTCCTGCACAGTCCCAGTGTGGGTTGCCAGCCAGGGCCCGCCCTCGATAGCAACCACCAGCAACAGGCTGCGAGTTGAGGTTTCCCCAGGCGACGGGTGTCCCCCCTTGGCAATCCCTCCTCGGCACAAGGACGGTTCAAAGGCGGCCCGCTTTCATACCGGACAGTTTGGTCAGTGATCTTCCCCCTTCTCCTCCTCCTCCTCCTCCTCTTCCTCCTCCTTTTCCCCCTTCTCCTCCTCCTCCTCCTCCTTCTCCTCACTCCCCCTCCCCCTCCTCCTCCTCCTCCTCCTCCTCCTCCTCCTCCTCCTCCTCCTCCTCCTCATCCTGCTCCCAGACCTCCCCGACAGTCCGCACTCTTCGAGTCGCAAGCCCCTGGACCTCTCGACCCCCTCTACTGGTGCTGGCCTCTCATCCCGAGGCGCTTTCTCACCGGGGGCAAGGCTAGGAGGGGTCCGCTCTCGGGGGGTTGCCAGCTCCGTGATGCCGTCCAGCAGCTGCGTCTCGCCGAGAGCGTTCTGATGGTGCCTGGATCGTCCCGCTCGGCTATCGGAGAGCAGAGCTACGGCTCGAAAGCCAACGGGTTTCGTTTTGGGTGGATAGGCTTGGGGACGGACGCATCGGCCCCCAATCGGTCCCGGGAGCCCGCCCAGCCCAGGACCGTTCGGATTCGCTGTCGGGGGGCCCATCGCCGAGCTTTCGGCGGTGCGTCGCCGATCCCAGGTCGATGCTTCCCCCCCTCCCAGAGCTGGTCCCCCACTGACGTTGCCCTTGTTCTCGCGGTTCCGTGCCCCGGACGCGGCCTCTTGACGCCAAAATTCGCAGAACAGCTTCGAGCGCGATGCTTCCGAGTTGCCAGGGGTCTGGGCCCCGCGACTCCGCCAGGTGAGCCTGCACGTCTTGGACGTGGCGGGGACGCGGATCGTCAACCTGCAGGGCAGCCTGAGGCAGAAGGCGGCGGCCCCGATGCTCACTGGTTCGGGGCAAGAGGGAGGTAGCAGCAAGGAGTTGGAAGAAGAACGAGGGTGTCGGACGAGGACTGGCGATCCGGAGGATCGAGGGCCCTTCTGGGCCTCTGGAGGCCTCCGTGGTGTACTGGCTGTGCGGAGATTCCTCCTCCTCCTCCTCCTCCTCCTCCTCCTCCTCCTCCTCCTCCTCCTCCTCCCCTTCCTCGTTCTTCCCTTCTCCCCCCTCGGAGTGAATCAGTCAGGCAGAGACTCCTCCTCCTCCTCCCCTCTTCCTCCCTCCCGCCTCCTCCTCTCCTCCTCCTCCTCCTCCTCTCCCCCCTATCTTCGTTTTGCCTCCTCCCCTCCTCTCCTCCTCCTTCATCCTCCTCCTGCTCCCCTCCTCCTCCTCCTCCCCTCCTCCTCTCCTCTCCACCGTGTTGCCCTGATCCTCGACCTCGTGCTGTGTCCCTGCGCCCTCCCATCCCCCTTCCCTCCCACTCGCAGTCGTCGCCACCCTTCCCTCGCCTCGACACAAGCGAGATCCACCTCCCCCCCCTTTGCCTCCCTCCTTGCCTCCGACTTCGACGTGAAAGCCTCCTCCGCCGCCGCCGCCTAGCCCTGAGATCCGACCTCACGGAAAAGCTGCAACGTCGTAGCAGCAGCCTGACCGGAGCCTTAGACCCCCTCATTCTTCGGGAGCCTCGAGACGGGGGTCAATGCAAACGGGGGTCAGCCAGGGCACCGGATCCTGCAGGATCCTGCGAAGACCCCCTCTGGCTGACCCGGTTTAGCGAGCCGCTCATGGCCGCGAGGCGGCCGCGCATATTGGCTGACCCGGGTTTGCGAAGACCTGCGTTGCAGTTTTTTCCCCAACCCTCCTATGGTTGGGTACTCGTTTTGAACAGAGCACTGTGGTCGCCTCGGCCTCCTTCTTCTCCTCCCCCCTCCTCCCCTCCTCCTCTCCTGTCTCCTGTGTTCCCCTCTCCTCTTCTCTCGTGCCGTCGGGCTGCGATCTGCGCAACTGTCGCCACTTTCGTTGGCTCCTGGGAGGCCCAGCGGAGGTGGGTCACACGCGGAGCACCTCGAGACCTCGCGGTGCCCTGGGGGGCTGCGATCTGCGCAATTGTCGCCACTTTCGTGGGCTCCTGAGAGGCCCAGCGGAGGTGGGTCCCACGCGGACCACATCCACACCTCGCGGTGCCCTGGGGGCTGCGATCTGTGCAATTTTCGCCACTTTCGTAGGCTCCTGGGGGGCCCACGCGGAGCACCTCGAGACCTCGCGGCGCCCTGGGGGGCTGCGATCTGCGCAACAGTCGCCACTTTCGTGGGCTCCTGGGAGGCCCAGCGGAGGTGGGTCCCAACGCGGACCACCGAGACCTTCCGCGTTTTGACTGGGGGCCTGCGATCTGCGCAATTGTCGACAATTTCGTGGGCTCCTGGGAGGCCCAGCGGATGTGGGTTCCCACGCGGGACACCGCCAGCGGCCCCAGACTCGCGGGCCCTGGGGCCCTGCGATCTGCAATTTCACACTTTCGTGGGTCCTGGGCGGGCCAGCGGAGGGGCCCACGCGGAGCACATCGAGACCTCGCGGCCGCCCCGGGGTCCTGCGATACTGCGCAACTGTCACCACTTTCGTGAGGGCTCCTGGGAGGCCCAGCGGAGGTGGGGTCCATAGCGGATCACCTCGAGACCTCGCGGCCGCCCCCTGGGGGCTTTGCGATCTGCGCAATTGTCGCCACTTTCGTGGGCTCCTGGGAGGCCCAGCGGAGGTGGGTCCCACGCTGACCACCTCGAGACCTCGCGGCGCCCTGGGGGCTGCGGTCTGCGCAAACTGGCGCGCGCCACTTGCGGGGGCTCTTGGGCGGCAAGGGGCCAAGCGGAGGCGGGTCCCACGGCGGACCACCTCGAGACCTCGCGGTTTCCATGGGGCTGCGATCGCGCAATTGCGCCACTTTCGTGGGCTCCTGGGAGGCCCAGCGGAGGTACGCCCAACGCGGATCACCTGGGGACCTCGCGGCGCCCTGGGGGGCTGCGATCTGCGCAACTGTCGCCACTTTCGTGGGCTCATGGGAGGCCGGCCCAGCGGAGGTACGCCCAACCCGGATCACCTGGGAGGACCTCGCGGCGCCGTTGGGGGCTTGCGATCTACGCAACTGTCGCCACTTTCGTGCGCTCCTGGGAGGCACAGCGGAGGTACGTCTCACATGGGCCACCTTGGGACCTCGCCGCCCCCTGGGGGGCTTGCGATCGCGCAACCGTCGCAACTTTCGTGGGCTCCTGGGAGGCCCAGCGGAGGCACGTCCACGCGGACCACCTCGAGACCTCGCGGTGCCCTAGGGGCTACGATCTGTGCAACTGTCGCCACTTTCGTGGGCTCCCGGGCGGCCCAACGAAGGTGGGTCCCACGCGGATCACCTCGAGGCCTCGCGGCGCCCTGGGGGGCTGCGATCTGCGCAAGTGTCGCCACTTTCGTGGGCTCCTGGGAGGCCCAGCGGAATGACGTCCCACGCGGACCACCTCGAGACCTCGCGGCGCCCTGGGGGGAGGCTGCGATCAGCGCAACTGTCGCCACTTTCGTGGGCTCCTGGGAGGCCCAGCGGAAGGACGTCCCACGCGGACCACCTCGAGACCTCGCGGCGCCCTGGAGGGGGGGGGGCTGCGATCTGCGCAACTGTCGCCACTTTCGTGGGGTCGTGGGAGGCCCAGCGGAGGTGGGTCGTCCCACGCGGAGCACCTCGAGACCTCGCGGCGCCCGGGGGGGCTGCGATCTGCGCAACTGTCGCCACTTTCGTGGGCTCCTGGGAGGCCCAGCGGAGGTGGGTCGTCCCACGCGGACCACCTCGAGACCTCGCGGTGCCTTTGGGGGCTGCGATCTGCGCAATTGTCGCCACTTTCGTGGGCTCCTGGGAGGCCCAGCGGAGGTGGGTCCCACGCGGACCACCTCGAGACCTCGCGGCGCCCTGGGGGGCTGCGATCTGCGCAATTGTCGCCACTTTCGTGGGCTCCTGGGAGGCCCAGCGGAGGTGGGTCCCACGCGGAGCACCTCGAGACCTCGCGGCGCCCTGGGGGGCTGCGATCTGCGCAACTGTCGCCACTTTCTTGGGCTCTTGGGAGGCCCAGCAGAGGTACGTCTTACGCGTTGCCGCTGCTCTTCTTGCTGCGCTCTTCTGAGTTCACTGATGGGTGCTCTTCTCCCGCACTGCGGGTTTTTCACCATGCCCGTCAGCATTGAGTGGTCCCGAATGTAACCACCACATGTATAGAAAGGGTTTGGTATGTCGCAGGGTAATTTCCTGCATTGGAGTGTTGTGGTTTCCTGCTGACCCGGGTCTGGATTGACCCGGGTCAGCAGATCCCCGAAACCTCTTCGGCAGTGTTCCGGCGGGATCGATCCGTGATGGTCCTGGCGCCCGAGACACCGCAGCATCGCCCGCTGCGAAGCGAGCGCGATGCCTGGATTTACCAGCCTCGAACGTATCCCTATCCCTGAGATTGACACGCCAAAAGGCCATGACACTCTTAGGGATTCGCCCTCAAAAAAGAAGGGAACCCCTAAGATTGACATCGGGATGAGGAGGTGCCCAGCATAGGGATAGGGATATCTTCCAGGCTGGTCCTGGATCTCGGGGGGCGCTGCCGACGGCAGCGCCGACAGCCCGACCGCTTCACTCTCCTGTTCCTCCTCCTCCTGTTCCTCCTCCTCCCTCTCCTTTCCCCTCCTCCTCCTCCCCCCCCTCCTACCTTCCCTCCCTACTCTTCCCCCTTTCCCTCCCTGCTCTTCCGACGGCCGCGCCGGCGCGCCCGGCCGCAGGAGTTCCGGGGCTGCTGCCGAGCGGCCCTGGCGAAGCTCCCGGTGAGCTGCCGCCCGCCCGGGAGCCTGGTGTTCATCACGGCGGGCGACGGCCCAGGAGAGAGCCGCCGCCCGGGGAGGCCTCGGGTTCTGCGCGCGGGCGGCCCTCCCCCGCGGTGGGTCCCGGCCGGCCTCGACGGGCCCTCCGACATCGGGGGCGGCAAAGAGGGGGGTGATGACTAGGGGGGGGTGGATTTCATGGCGGGGGCCATGATCTTTCCCCAGAGTTCATGCCGCCTCTTCTTATTTCAGTACGTCCCTGGCCCCCCCCCGCTGGGCCGCGCACATGCCGCCGGTCATGATTTGCACCCCCCCCCTCCTTGGACCCCCCCTCTTGGCCGCTCCCGACGACAGTCCCAGCTGGCCTCACAGCAGGCCCCACGAGCAGGTCGCAGGTCGGGGCGGGCTCCGCAGCCCCCTCGGCGGCGCCCCAGGGGTGCCGAGGCCGCCCTGGGCTGCGCGAGCGGCCTGTTGAGGCCAGCTGGGAATGCTCGGGGGGCCTGTTGGGGCCAGCTGAGACTGCCTGGGGTGGCTGTCTGTGCGAAGCCCGAGGCCTTACAAGCCGCCGTGGTGCTCGCCGTCGTCGCCGTCGTCGCCGTCGTCGCCATCATCGTTGCCGCCGCCGCCGCCGCCGCCGCCGCCGCCGCCGCCGCCGCCGTCGTCGTCGTCGTCGTCGTCGTCGTCGTCGTCGTCGTCGTCGTCGTCGTCGTCGTCGTCGTCGTCGTCGTCGTCGGCGCCGTCGTCGTCTTCGTCGTGGTGTGTGTCGGTCTGCGAAGGGCGCTAGCTCTGGGGGGCCTCTCTTGCTTGAGACGTTCTCGATGTTTTTCGCCAGAGGCTCAAACTTATGCAGCAGTTTCACAGATGTTGGTGGCCCCTTGTCAAAGCAGGGCTATCCCCCGAGACTTCCTCGGGCTTTGTGGCCTCGGGTTTTGAGATGTCCAACAGTTGCGAATGGAGGGCGGTTCTTTTTCATAAGTGGGCTTGCTGGGCACCTCCTTGATTTTTTTGGGCCCTACACCCGTCAGAACTCTGCAGACAAAAAACGCACCTTTCATGCACTACATACTTCTTTCAAGAAAATCAGCAATCTGGAGTGGACCCTGGGCGTTTTCTCGCAGCGTTTCTGTCGCAGAACTTTCGTGCATCCGGATTGTGACGATTGCCAACGAACATGCTTTGAGTGAAGTTCGTCTCTTTAGCTTGAATATCTTTCACTCTACGCAGGGTGTACTTCGTCGCATCATCTCTGACAATTTGGAGGATGGAAGTTTAATTTCTTTCACAGCGGGGCTATCGCTACAATTTCACTCCAATTTGTCGCTTGCCTTTCAAGGGCGGCCCTTTCAGCAGTGAAACCTGGTCCCTCTCCTCCCCTCCCCCTTCTTGTTCTTCTTCTTCTTCTAGCTGCGTCAAGCCGTGACGGCGAGAACCTGCGTGACGACGACGTTGTCGCCTTCGTGTCTTCCTTCGACCTGGTCTTGTCTTCGCCGCCGCCGTCGTTGTCGCCACCGCTGCCGTCACTGCCGCCATTGCCGCTGCCGCCGCTGGTGTCGTCGTCGTAGTCGCCGTCGTCGTCGTCCTCGTCGTCCTCGTCGTCGTCGTCGTCGTCGTCGTCGTCGTCGTCGTCGTCGTCGTCGTCGTCGTCGTCTTCGTCGTCGTCGTCTTCGTCGTCGTCGTCGTCGTCCTCCCTGTGGTGTCCGAACTTGCGAACAAAAGGCATCATCAGGAACAACCGCGGCAGGAGTCCGAGGCCCCATCTGTCTGCTGCACTCTCCGAGCCGGATCGATCCGTGGTGGCCCCTCGGCCCGCAACAAGGACAATTCGCCCGTGCAAGAAAAAAACGCGACGCCAGGGCTTGTGAACCGACAGCTGCAGTGCCGTTCTTAATACTCCAGATTTCGTAATAAAGGGAGGGGGGTCTCATTTCGGGGGGGGGGTCTCTTCGAGGCTATCTTGGAGGGCCTGGGGGGTCTGGGGACGATGTTTTGGAGGGTTCTCCCACGGGGGAGGTCCGAAATGGCTTGTCTTGGAGGGTCCAGACCCCCTCCCTTTTATTACGAAGTCTGGAGTACATGTTCCGCGTACGGATCATGTATTAAAGGGGATCTAGTATTCAAAACAACGATGAGTTCATGCATACATTTATTCATAACATTAATCATGTATTAAGCATCCATTTTTTGTTGGAAAAAAAGCCATGTATGAAAAAGAACTGCCCTTGAGCACCCATACCTTTACGACCTCCAGATTTGCGGGATGGATTTCCGAGAGGGCTGCGGGTGCGTGTTGTTGGATGGGGGTGCCCTCTCGATCCCAGGCCACCCTCGGTGTGCAATCACCCGCACCCATACCCATGGCGCAGCCTCAAATCGCGAGGAGCGGGCCAGTCCCTCTACAGGCATGCGTGTGTGTGTGTGTTGTCCGCTCGTCAAGGCTCTCAGGGCTCGCCGTGGTCGTCGTCGCTGTCGTTTTCGTGTCTTTCTCCAGGGGCCTTCAACATGATCGGCCTGACGCCGCACACCGGCTCGTCAGAGCATGGGCACGGGGGCGAGCTGCACTGGCGGGACAGCTTTTGGCGCCGGGACAAGCTCAACATGCCCACGGCCTAGAGGACGGCGACGGCGACGACCACGTTGATGACGTTGACGACGACGACGACGATGATGACGCCGACGCCGACGCCGACGCCTACGCCGACGCCGACGCTGACGCCGACGCCCACGCCGACCCCGACGCCGACGCCAACGCCGTCGCCAACGCCGACGCCGCCGCCGCTGACGCCGCCGCCGACGCCGACGCCAACGCCGACGCCGATGCCGACGCCGACACCGACGCCGATGCCGACGCCGCCGCCGTCGCCGACGACGACGACGACGACGACCCTGAGATCTGGGCGTTGCGTTTTTTGCACACTGGGCGTTTTCGCTTGGTTTCAGGCCCTGGGATCCTCAATCATCGATCTGGCTCGAAGAACGCCGCAGAAAGATCTGGCCTGGGACTCCATTCGTGATTCTTCGCGGTGTTTCAGTTTTTTGTTGCAGCTCCGGATCTCAGGAGATGGCGGGCGACGGCGGCGGCGTTTTCGGCGGCGCGCAGGGGGAGGTGGTGCGCGCGGGCATCGAGTAGGAGCTCGACTGCAGAATTGATTTACCCCACAATTTATTCTTCGCCGAGTCTACGAAAGTGCGTATCATGTGTTTGTAGATTTGCGGAGCATTCGGCTCGTGTTTCGTAGACTCATCTTCGGGCACCTCCACTCTGTAGCCGACAGGAGGCTCGGCGTGCGCACGGCCCGGCCTTCAGCCCCATGGGGGCCCACGACGACGACGACGACGACGACGACGCTGGCGCCCATGCCGCTGCCGCCTCCGCCGCCGCCGACGCCGACGCCGACGACGACGACGACCCTGAGATCCGGGCGTTGCGATTCTTCACACTCGGGGTCGGGCGGGTGGTCATGGGGGGGTGACCTAAATGGTGGGTGAAGCAATTGTCCCTGAAGGGGCCCTATGAGGGCTCCTTTTTGGAGCCAGCTGGTGCCCCAATGGGGCCCGATGAAGGGCCCCTCTGGGGCCTTTTTCTTCACCCCGCATTTGGGCCACCCCCCATTACGCACCGGTCGTTGAGAGTAGGTGTTTTTTTGGATTCCCAGATCCCAATCTGCTTAGGCGCCTTCCTACTCCAAGGATCGAGTGGTTTCACGCTTGCCCTCCTCTTCAGGGGGCGGGCGGAAGCCCAGCCTGCTTCCAACGCCTTCCTGCTTCATGTTTCCACCCGCTTCTCCCGACCGACGGGTATCACCCGCCCGACGCGGGCCCCAGGCCTCCGGCGCCCTCTCATCCGCCTCGGCTGAAGGAGTCCCTCGGCGGCCAAGAGGCCTCGGCTGAGGTCGGGCCTGTCCCCCTACAGGGGGACTTTCGACGAAAAATAGAAAATAGTCATGCAATTGTCAAAAGATGCCCAAAAATACTGGAAAAAAATGTCCCCATACTATTTTTTGACTATTATTGAATCGCTTCGCTCATTCCGCCGGCCCGTGATATGGCATCGCTGGTTTTTGTCTGTGTGTTCGTTGCCCATGTTGCGCTCTTGGGGGCGGGTGTCGTTCGGACGCGTTGCGTGGGGAGTTTTGATGGTGAAGCAGTTCCCTGGGGGTCGTCTCTCGATGGGGCGAAATAGAGTCGTCGTCAAGATGCTTCTTTGGGGGGCCTCTTGGGGTCTGTTGAGAGGCCGTTCGGGGGCGCCTGGGAGACATGTTTGAAGCCTTCTGGGGCTTCTTTTGGGCCTCCTGGGAGTCTCCTGGGGCCTCTTGGCGACATCTTGGGGCCTCTTGGAGGCCTCTTGGGGCCTCTTTGGGACCTCCTGGGCGCCTTCTGGGACGGAGGGCTCCATTTTTGAGTTCTCGGTATCCCTCCTGAGTCCCTCTTGGGCCCGTCTTGGGGCCTCTTGGTCCGTCTTGGGCGGCACTTGGGCCGTCTTGAGGGCTCTCTTGGGTCGTTTCGGCGCCGTCTTGGGAGCTTCGTGGGCCGTCTTGGAGCGGTCTTGGGGGCCTCTTGGGCCGTCTTGGAGCGTCCGGAAGCCGAAAAAACCAGAACACAAAAAACATAGAAAAAACCAATGAAAATCAACGATTTTGGCCTCTTGGGGCTCTCTTCGGAGGCCTCTTGGAAGGCTCTTGGGGCGTCTTGGAGGCCTCTTGGGCTGTCTTGGGGGCCTTTTGGGCCGTCTTGGGGTCATCTTCGGCGTCTTCGAGCGCTCTTTGGGCGTCTCGGGGGCCTCTTGGGCAGTCTTGGGGGCCTCTTGGGGCACTCTGAGCGCGCTCTGGGGAGCCTGAGAGGCCGCACCCAGAAGGAAAACCATCTCTGAGTAGACTTGGTCGGGCGGCGACCGGGCGTTGGTCGGGGTACTTTTCGCCGGGGGACCCCCAGGGGCCGCCCCGCGCGCGCGAACTAGAAATACTGTTAATACTGTTAACCAGTTACCGGAGATCTTAGCACGCCCTGGCCCGTTGGGCCGGCGAATTGAATATTCCCCCTGTAGGGGACAAGTCCGACTTAAGCCTCGGCGGCCAAGAGTGGTGGGCTTGTTTTCGCCACCGCCACCACCATAAGTAGGAGGGGGAGGCAGAGACCTGTGGAGGTCGGGGGAAGAATTGGTTGCTCCGGGTGTGGACCCAATTGTGGTCTCGCCCCTGGAATGGTTGCACTTCAGCCGCCTGGAACACCTGGCACCTCTTGCAGCTCTGCCTTCAGTCCCTGGCGTCGCTCCTCGGCGTCCCTCGGCGGCCGTTAGTTCGCGCGCTTAGGTAATTAGGTTTGGCTCGTAGCCCGGGCTGGCTTCGGACGCCGCCTGCGCCTTCGCTTGCGGCCGCGACGGAAAAAGTGGGGACCCAACTAGTGGTAACACATGGTCGCAGGTATGTATCTTCGATGCAGTGATGTGCAATACATACAGTGCAACACATCACATAGTAGCTAATCTGAAAACACCGCGGCGCAGAACACAATACCGCCTGGCATATCACGGCACTGCATCCTTGCGTTGCATTATGCAGTACAGTGTTGCATTGCATTCCATGACATGTTAAATCGTGCCACTAACTAGTACGAGTGGAATGGTTTGCCCTAGCGTTGTAATCCATAGAATTGTACAGTTTACCATAGCACAGCACATCATGATATAGCATTGCCTTGCGTGTACAGCGTGGCAATATATGTCGTAACACCGTACGGCGTTGCACTTACGAGCGTCGTGTCTAACACCGTTTGAATGCCATATCATCGGTGTGCTACCATCGTTTCATTCGGATACTGAAGCAGCATATCAGCTCATGGCATACTATGGGACTACCTTGCTCAACCAGGGATAGCATACTCGTGCGCAGAATGATCGGCGATGCCATGGCAGTTCACAGTAACACATTGCATGGCACGGTGCAGCGTAGCGTTGCATAGTATATCATTGCATGCTTCAGCATCGTACTGCGCAGCATCGTGTGACATAGCATGGTGTTGCATTGCTTGCTGCAGCGTGGCGCAGCATTGCGTACCATATCATGGCGCATTGTGGCTCTACACATCCGAGCGCAACATGACGCAGCACAGCATGCTGGGGGTGCTGCAGCACTGCATCTGTCCTGGCCCACACTGGTACGACTGATCAACGTTCGGCTGGTCGGCGAGCGTGGTGGATGAGTAGGCGCAGGAGGGACGAGGAAGAAGCAGGACACGGTCAATGGGGAACACGATCCGTGCTCGTCTTTTTGCTTCCGAGGCGGTCAGCACTGGAACGACCAGAGCCCGAGCGCGCTCCCGAAGCGCGCGCGTGGCTCTGCGGTCGGAAACGTTTGCGCAGCCTGTCGCCGCGCCGGTTCGGGCCCTACGCGCTCTGGCGCGAGACGCTAAGCGCGTCCCAGCCCCCAGGCATGGGCGTCCTGGGCCTTGCCCAGCCCCCCGGCACGCGGAGAACGAGCCGCCCGCGCGGCCGCCGCCCGTGGGGCAGAGCGTGCCGCCGGGGGCCGCCGCCGCGACACGCGGAGCAGTCACTCCCGGCCGTACCGCCAAGACACTGAAGGAAGGACCACCCTGGACTCGGGTTATGTCGGGCCTGTCCCCTGTCCCCCTACAGGGGGATTTTCGACGAAAAATAAAAAGTACCCCCAACATGGCAAACAAAGACAGTCCAAAAATAGCCTGGGGACTGTTTTGGGGGTATCTGTTGACCTTTTTGGCGTATTTTTGGGGTATATTTTTTTTTTCGTCGAAAATCCCCCTGCAGGGGGACAGGCCCGACAGAAGACTCGGGAGGGGCTCCGGTGTCCGGGCGGCTCCTCGGGTCCAGGTCGGAGAGAGCCTGCTCGCGGCCGGGGCTCGCCGTGTCCAGAGCTCCCCGAGCGCGTGCCACGACGCGCAGAGTGCCTCCTCGCAAACGCCCGGCACACACACACACACCTGTCTGCTTCCCAGTACTTTATCGTGGATCCCCCGCGGCGGGCCTGGGCCATTTGCGAGCAGCTGCTCTGCGAGTAGTGGAGCGCGCTCGTCTAAAAGTCTGCGAGCGAAGAACGGTATAACATCAACTTTTTCGCTGTCGGGGGCGCCTGTCCCTGGGCGGCTGGAAAGTTTATATCCTACGGTGCCACCGTAGGGGTATAAACTTTCCAGCCGCCCAGGGACAGGCGCCCCCGACAGCGAAAAAGTTTATCTTATACCGTTCTTCGCCCGTTAAAAAAGACAAATTCTTCACGCTTCGCGTATCCCCACCAGCCCATCTGAAAACAGCAACTCTTGCGAAACATGAGGCCTCGTGGTGCCTCCTGGGGACCTCTTGTGGGCCATCTGGGGAACTCTAGGGGCCATCTGGTGGACCTCTGGGGGCCATCGTGGGGGGCTTGTATGAGCGCTGCCCGTCCTCCTGGTGTGACTCGTTCGGGCTCCTCGTGGTGTGAGTCGTTCGAGGCCCGCGTCGTGGTGTGAGTCGTTCGGGCTCCTCATGGTGTGAGTCGTTCGGGCGGCTCGTCCTGGTGTGAGTCGTTCGGGCCCCTCCTTGTGGTGTGAGTCGTTCGGGCTCTTCGTGGTGTGAGTCGTTCGGGCCCCTCTTCCTGGTGTGAGTCGTTCGGGCTCCTCGTGGGGCCTCTTGGGGGCCTCTTGGAGCCTCTTGGGGCCTCTGGGGGCCTCTTGGGGGCCTCTTGGGGGCCTCTTGGGGCCTCTAGGGGCCTCTTGTGTAGTAGTAGTAGTAGTAGTAGTAGTAGTAGTAGTAGTAGTAGTAGTAGTAGTAGTAGTAGTAGTAGTAGTGTAGTAGTAAAGTAGGAGTAGTGGGGTAGTAGTAGTAGTAGTAGTAGTAGTAGTAGTAGTAGTCGTAGTAGTAGTAGTAGTAGTAGTAGTAGTAGTAGTAGAGTAGTAGTAGTAGTAGTAGTAGTAGTAGTAGTAGTAGTAGTAGTAGTAGTAGTAGTAGTAGTAGTAGTAGTAGTAGTAGTAGTAGAAGGAGTAGTAGTAGTAGTAGTAGTAGTAGTAGTAGTAGTAGTAGTAGTAGTAGTAGTAGTAGTAGTAGTAGTAGTAGTAGTAGTAGTAGTAGTAGTAGTAGTAGTAAGTAGTAGTAGTAGTAGTAGTAGTAGTAGTAGTAGTAGTAGTAGTAGTAGTAGTAGTAGTAGTAGTAGTAGTAGTAGTTAGTAGTTAGTAGTAGTAGTAGTAGTAGTAGTAGTAGTAGTAGTAGTAGTAGTAGTAGTAGTAGTAGTAGTAGTAGTAGTAGTAGTAGTAGTAGTAGTAGTAGTAGTAGTAGTAGTAGTAGTAGTAGTAGTAGTAGTAGTAGTAGTAGTAGTAGTAGTAGTAGTAGTAGTAGTAGCAGTAATGGAGTCGAAGTCGTAGTAGTAGTAGGCGTAGGAGTAGAAGTAGAAGTAGATGTCTTTTGGTCGGAGGCCTCTGAGGGCGTCTTCATCGCCTCGTGGGGCCTCTTGGAGACATGTTGGGGGCATCTCCTCGTGGGGCCTCTTGGGGGCCTCTTGGAGCCTCTGGGGGCCTCTTGGGAGCCTCTTGGGGGCCTCTCGGGGGCCTCTCGGGGGCCTCGTGGAGCCTCTGGGGGCCTCTCGGGGGCCACTTGGGGCCCTCTTGGGGGCCTCTTGGGGCCTCTTGGGGGACTCTGGGGAGCCTCCTGAGGAGGCCTTTTGGGAGCCTCCTGGGGGCCTCTTGGGGCCATCTTGGGGGCCTCTTGCGACCTCCTCTGAAGCGCGAAGGAGCGCTGCCCCCTGAAAAGGACAAAATGAGGCCAAAACCTTTGTAAAATCAACGATTCTGCTATGGAGGAAGAGAAGCGCGGCCCCCTCAGGAGGCCAAAATGGGGCCAAAACCGTAGTAAAATCAATTATTTTTGCTTCAAAGAAGAGCAGAGGGGCCAAACTCGGCCCCCCCGTCGGGGCCAGAATCCTCGTGAGGGTCGTTGTTTTTTGGCCCTCCCAGGAGCCGAAAACGACCCCCCTGAGAACACTCGGGGCTCCCTGTCCAGGCCCAGGGGGAGGGGGTAGGGGGAGGGGTAAACCCTTCCCCGAAGGGGAAGAAGGGGGGTTGAGGACAGAGCGGGCTCTCTAAACCACTCACGCCCAAAGGGCTGGTGGGATTCTTCCTTCCTTACTCATCTCTCCTCATAGTAAAACAGGGCTAGGATCGGGACAAATCGCTCCAGAGCGCTCCGGAGCGCTCTCAGAGCGTTCCGGAACGCGCTGGAGCGGCCGCGGCGCCCAATACATCTTCCAAACCCGCCGATCCTCAGAGATTTCGAGTTATCCCGATCCGATTTTGTCCCGATCTTCGCATCGCTTTACGTCGCCGCGCGATGGCCGCAGCCCCTCTGCTCAGGGTGCCCTCGCCGGCAGGCTCGCGGCGCGCGGGTTCCACGGGCGCGAAACGCCGCCGCCAGGTCCGGGGTGACGTTCGAGGTGGACCCCGCGGTGCTGTCCGTGGTCCACCAAGTGCGCACCGGGGAGGTGGGCCCCCCATCGACTAGACGTTCAGGGGAGAAAAAGATACGGATACGTGTTGTCCCCCTTCGTTTTCGGCCTTTCCTGGTCCTCCTGGGGAATCCTCGTTGTCACCGCTGGATTCGCTTCGAAATTCTGGTCAGAACGCACCCCAAGAGAGGTCCAGGGACAACACGTATCCGTATCTTTCCGCCCCCCAAGACGTAAGAGTGACCTTTCGCCGGAGTGACTTCTGGTGCGGACACACGTGGGCCCTCAGATGGCTGAAGACGCAGCGGTAGCAGCGGCTTGCGCGCCCAGATTTGGTCTCCCCGCGGCCCCCAAAAAGCCGCGCACCAAAGGTCACTCTTACCCACGGTCACTCTTGCGTGTAGCCGACCCCCAGCCCCGCCCGGCGCCCGGGAGGGCCCTGGCTGGACGCGCTTGCCGTGGATAGAGAGAGAGAGAGAGAGTCTAGGCTGAAGTGGGGCCTGTCCCTCTACCGGAGAATGGTTCAGAATAGTCAAGAATTAGTCGGGGGACGATTTGTTTTTTGATTGGTATTTTTTGGATACTTTGAAATATGTTTTGGTTTCCTTTATTTTTCCCCCAAATTCCCCTGTAGGCGACATGCCCGACCTGAGTCTAGGTCTGACAGGTGGGGTCCGAGTAGATGGGGTCAGAGGATCGCGCCGCATCGCCGATGCATCGGCGATACGGCGCGATGTGGAGCCCGATGTTCTCCACACTGGCGTCGCCGATGCACCGCCAACGTCGCCGATGCATCGCCGATTCATCGGCGATGCGGCGCGATCCTCCGACCCCACCTACTCGAACCCCATCTGGGAGACCTCTAGAGAGAGAGAGAGGGAGAAACAACAAAAAAAAACAGAAGAAAGGCCCCGAGGGAGATGGGGTCCCGAGGGGCTCCGCTCGATAGAATTAGTTCCCAGCTGGTCTCGAAGAAGCGACAGCTGCACAAGCGCGAGTCTTCGGATCCCCGCGCGGATTTCTTGCATCTGCGCTGGGCCTCCTCGGCGGTGCTTCCGGCGAGGCCACCGGCGCGCTCCACGCGCCAGGGAGGGGGTCCAGCGCCGATCCAGGAAATCCGCGCGGACCTCCAAGCGTTTGCGTTTACGCCGCTTGTCAGGAGGGAAACACACAGACACAATGACAATGAATCATCGATTCCTCAGAAACTATGGGAAACTATGGGACGTGGGGGGGAGGACAAAAACCTAGAAAATATGTGAACATATGGGGTATGCTGTTATCTGTGTCTATTTATTTGTGTGTCCCAGGGCCCCTTCAGCTTGATGTCCCTCTACAGGCTAAGAGCTGGTGCGCAGTTCGCCGCGTGCTGCCAGCACGGCCCTCCGTGTGGCCTCTGGGACACATGGCTGTGGAGCTGGGAAAGCGCTGCTGTACACTCCGGTCGTGGAAAGTAGGCATTTCTGGATTCCCAGATCCCAATCTACTTCAAGCGCCTTCCTACTTCAAGAGTCGATCTGCTTCTGGTGCTTTGTGATGTTCTCTGGGAGGGTCTGGACCCAATCTACCTTATCCGCCCTCCTACTTCACGTTTTGTACCTACTTCTTCCGACCGACGCGTAGTCCAGCACATCCCGCCCTGGCATGATGCAGACGCCGGCCGTGCACTTGCCTTGTTCATGACGTCAGTATTGACACGTTGCGTGTTGGCTCAACGTGTTGGCCCACGTTTTGGCGTACGTGTCGCGCCGAACCGAATGGTTTTAATCTACGTGTTGAGCTCTGTGTCGTCACGCTACGGGTTGGGTGTTGCGCATCGGAGCGGCTAAGGCTGCCTCTCCTCCACGCGGTGTGCGGCGCTGGTCGCCCGCGTAAGCCGCTGCGTAAAATCGCTATGTCACTTGCGAACAAAAACGACAAATAGACTGGCCTCCGCGCATCGCCGCCCTCAGCCGGCCGTCGGACGCGCCACACTCGTGTCAGGGGGGAGCGTGCCCTGTCGCTGCTGGCGCTGCTGTCACGACGGCCGCTGCGGGTGGTTCTCATGCCGCGAGCGACGAGGGGTATCACAGAGGAAAACTCTCAGCGATGATGGAGCTGTGTGTACGGTCGGGGACTTCTCTATAGCTTGTGTCGCTCCGCCGGTTCTGGCCCATAACGCTTCGGCGCGACACGCGATCCATTTCCCAGTCCCCAGGCTTCAGCTTCCCGAGCCTTTCCCAGCATCTCGCCCCGCGGACGGCGGATGGGAGCGACACGCTATCCGCTTGCAGGACATAGCGATTCGCAGGGGCCGCCGCTGCGACACGCTAAGCAGCCCTTTCCGCTACGTCTCGATCAACCTCGAAGTTGCCAGTCGCCTGCGCAAGCTCGACGAGGCTTCGCGCTGGACGCCGCAGTCACGCATCTCGAATGCCAGGTCGGCGCGAATGCGTATTTCAGCCATATCGTCAGCGCGCAACTTTGGCGCCTCAGACGCCTGGAGTCGCTGCGACGAGGCCAGTGGCTAGCGTCGTCGTGAAAACGACGGCATGAAGCGGACCCAGATCGATGTCAAGTTCTCGCCGCAGATGGGCACATGTGTTCAGTCGGCCTGGGCTGCGTGCGACGCGCTGAGTAGGCCAATGCCAGCCCCAGAACAAGGCTTGGCCTCCTCGACGAGCCCAAGGTCAATGCCACCGTGAGCGGCGCGAGAACGAGACGAGGGAGCGCGCCCTCGCAGCGGTGCGCAGCGGCCCGCGCGCGCTCGCCGGTGCAGGCGGCCGAGCTCGAGCGCGAGCTTGTGGTTTTTGTGGGGCCCTGTCCTCCTCTCTAGGCCTCCCAGATGGGGTCGGAGCAGATGGGGTCGAAAGATCGCGCCGCATCGCCGATGCATCGGCGATGCGGCTCGATGCGGAGCCCGTTTGCTTCACGTCGACGTCGCCGATGCATCGCCGACGTCGGCAATGCGTCGCCGTTGCCCCGCCGATGCATCGCCGATGCATCGACGATGCATCGCCGATGTATTGGCGATGCGGCGCGATCCTCCGACCCCATCTACTCGGACCCCATCGAGGAGCCTCTCTCCTCCTCCTCCTCCTCCTCCTCTCCTCCTCCTCCTTTCCTACTCTTACTCCTCCTCCTCCCCCCCGTTTCCTCTTTCTTCTTCTCCTCCTCCTCCTCCTTCTGCTCCTCCTCCTCCTGAGGAGGAGGTGGAGGAGGAGGAACGCGGGAGGAGGAGGAGGAGGAGGAGGAGGAGGAGGAGGAGGAGGAGGAGGAGGAGGAGGAGGAGGAGGACCTTTTCTTCCTCCTTCCGCGGTCCTGCACCTCCCTCTGCACGAACAGGCGGTCCTGGTTTCGTCCACACGCGCAAGACAAGTCTGTCACCTGACTTGGTGCCTGCTGATCTTTGGCTGGCATGCGGCAGGAGCTGTGGGCTGTCGTTGTGCTCTCTCATCCTCTCCCCCTACAGTCAGAATGCACTGTAAGGCCGCAGTGCTTTTACAAGGGCACCCTGGCATCCTTGCCTCATCGGCCAATCTTTGGCCAGTTTCGACGTCCAGGGGCGCCCAGTTTGAAAAGGCCAAGGGCCTTGCATCCTGACGAGGGGAACAAACAATGACATGAACACACACACACACAAACTCGGAGGTCTGCGCGGATTTCTCGGATCGACGTCGGGCCCCCCTCTCTGGCGCGCCGAGCGCGCCAGGGGCGGCGCTGGAGGCGCCGCCGGGGGGCCCCGGCGCCGATGCGAGGAACCTGCTCGGGTCTCCGAGTTGTTATGTTTTATGTCACTGTTGGTTCCCCTACTTAACCTTGCGTCGATGATGGCTGCCTTGCCCTGCGTCCTTGACTGTCCCTACCCTGCATCGACGAGGACGACGACGGCGACGACGACGACGACGGCGGCGGCAGCGACGACGAGAGGAGGAGGCGGAGGAAACAGGGAGCACACCGTCGCTGTCGACTACGCTGAGGACGACGACTAGCGACGGCGAGCGATGGCGACGCCGACGGCGGCGGCGGCGGTCGGAGCGCGACGACGAGGACGATGACGTCACCGCCATCGCCGTCGCCACCGCCATCGCCGTCGCTGTCGCCATCCTTACCCTGCGTCCTCACCCTGCGCCCTCGGCCCTCCGAAGATCTCCGAGCGCCTTCCGCCGCTCGCAAAGTGCCTTCAGTCGGGGCCCTGAAAAAGGAACCCTTTTCGTTGGGGAGGGGCTCCGTGGTCCGTAATTGTTTCGCAGCTTGCCTGGGATTTTCCTTAGGTTTTCGATACGAAATCGAAGGTCAACTCATGGAAAAAAGGGGCCTTGCTCCTTATGTAGGATTCCTTGGGTCAACGCCCCGACTGTACTCTCAAGCGTCAGAAAAGAAGACTCGTTTGCTTCGATGAGATTTGTGCGTCGGTCCCCGCGGCGAGCAGGCACCGTGCGAGTCGCAAAGGGCGCTCGTCGAGAGGAGGGCTCGGTGCCGCGGCGCGCCCTCGTCGGCTCGGTGCCGCGGCCCGCCCGCGCGCCGCGCGCCGCGCTCTTTCTCGCTCGGGAGCCCCGGGGGGCGGCCGAGAGCCCACGGCCCGGGGCGGCCCCCCGCCGCAGGTCGTCGATGATTCCACGTTGCAGGCGGAGCGCGAGCAGAAATCGATCCGGAAAGCGCGCCGCGCGTCGTGCCGGCAGTCTCGGTGTGCGCGGCTGGAGGCAGAGTGGACGCGGCGGACGGAGGCGGCGGCCGAGCGCAACGAGCAGCTTGTACGCCGTGTGTTGCTCCCCGTCGTGCCCTGCGCCTTGCTGCGGCTCTGCACGCACGAAATGGGTACTGAAAGAATGGGTACAATGCCCAACAGCGGATCTTGTTCATTCTGAACAGGGCTCGCTGTCCACGCCGCTGCGGCCCGTGTCCATTCGAGGCAGGAGGCCGCCTGCCCAACAGCGGCCGCTGCTGGTTTGGGACAACATGTGCTGTTGGGCATTGTTCCCATGTTTTCGGTACCCATTTCGGGCGTCCAAAGCGGCGGCGCCGAGGGCAGACCCCCGTCGAGCCACGAGGAGGGC